CGATGTCTGGGGATTTGATTTGTATACAATTGGTGGATGGTGGCTAGCAGTGGAATCCAGGATGCGCATTTCGTCCTAATTGGGACTCGTCAGCTGGATGTACCTGCATTTCTCAGTGAGTGATGATGTTCCCACCGAGGCTCGAACCCAGTGCCCATAGTTTCAAACGCCAAAGCGTTATCCACTAGACCACTTGGGCCACGAGAGCCACCTGTTGTGCGACGGGTCATATTAATTATTGAATTGAATTTTTGATTTTCCCGTCGATTGATTGGACCGAAGTGTTCGGTCTCAGGTTGACATGTCGGCTTCTTGTGCAGATGCTTCGACGATGTCTGGGGATTTGATTTGTATACAATTGGTGGATGGTGGCTAGCAGTGGAATCCAGGATGCGCATTTCGTCCTAATTGGGACTCGTCAGCTGGATGTACCTGCATTTCTCAGTGAGTGATGATGTTCCCACCGAGGCTCGAACCCAGTGCCCATAGTTTCAAACGCCAAAGCGTTATCCACTAGACCACTTGGGCCACGAGAGCCACCTGTTGTGCGACGGGTCATATTAATTATTGAATTGAATTTTTGATTTTCCCGTCGATTGATTGGACCGAAGTGTTCGGTCTCAGGTTGACATGTCGGCTTCTTGTGCAGATGCTTCGACGATGTCTGGGGATTTGATTTGTATACAATTGGTGGATGGTGGCTAGCAGTGGAATCCAGGATGCGCATTTCGTCCTAATTGGGACTCGTCAGCTGGATGTACCTGCATTTCTCAGTGAGTGATGATGTTCCCACCGAGGCTCGAACCCAGTGCCCATAGTTTCAAACGCCAAAGCGTTATCCACTAGACCACTTGGGCCACGAGAGCCACCTGTTGTGCGACGGGTCATATTAATTATTGAATTGAATTTTTGATTTTCCCGTCGATTGATTGGACCGAAGTGTTCGGTCTCAGGTTGACATGTCGGCTTCTTGTGCAGATGCTTCGACGATGTCTGGGGATTTGATTTGTATACAATTGGTGGATGGTGGCTAGCAGTGGAATCCAGGATGCGCATTTCGTCCTAATTGGGACTCGTCAGCTGGATGTACCTGCATTTCTCAGTGAGTGATGATGTTCCCACCGAGGCTCGAACCCAGTGCCCATAGTTTCAAACGCCAAAGCGTTATCCACTAGACCACTTGGGCCACGAGAGCCACCTGTTGTGCGACGGGTCATATTAATTATTGAATTGAATTTTTGATTTTCCCGTCGATTGATTGGACCGAAGTGTTCGGTCTCAGGTTGACATGTCGGCTTCTTGTGCAGATGCTTCGACGATGTCTGGGGATTTGATTTGTATACAATTGGTGGATGGTGGCTAGCAGTGGAATCCAGGATGCGCATTTCGTCCTAATTGGGACTCGTCAGCTGGATGTACCTGCATTTCTCAGTGAGTGATGATGTTCCCACCGAGGCTCGAACCCAGTGCCCATAGTTTCAAACGCCAAAGCGTTATCCACTAGACCACTTGGGCCACGAGAGCCACCTGTTGTGCGACGGGTCATATTAATTATTGAATTGAATTTTTGATTTTCCCGTCGATTGATTGGACCGAAGTGTTCGGTCTCAGGTTGACATGTCGGCTTCTTGTGCAGATGCTTCGACGATGTCTGGGGATTTGATTTGTATACAATTGGTGGATGGTGGCTAGCAGTGGAATCCAGGATGCGCATTTCGTCCTAATTGGGACTCGTCAGCTGGATGTACCTGCATTTCTCAGTGAGTGATGATGTTCCCACCGAGGCTCGAACCCAGTGCCCATAGTTTCAAACGCCAAAGCGTTATCCACTAGACCACTTGGGCCACGAGAGCCACCTGTTGTGCGACGGGTCATATTAATTATTGAATTGAATTTTTGATTTTCCCGTCGATTGATTGGACCGAAGTGTTCGGTCTCAGGTTGACATGTCGGCTTCTTGTGCAGATGCTTCGACGATGTCTGGGGATTTGATTTGTATACAATTGGTGGATGGTGGCTAGCAGTGGAATCCAGGATGCGCATTTCGTCCTAATTGGGACTCGTCAGCTGGATGTACCTGCATTTCTCAGTGAGTGATGATGTTCCCACCGAGGCTCGAACCCAGTGCCCATAGTTTCAAACGCCAAAGCGTTATCCACTAGACCACTTGGGCCACGAGAGCCACCTGTTGTGCGACGGGTCATATTAATTATTGAATTGAATTTTTGATTTTCCCGTCGATTGATTGGACCGAAGTGTTCGGTCTCAGGTTGACATGTCGGCTTCTTGTGCAGATGCTTCGACGATGTCTGGGGATTTGATTTGTATACAATTGGTGGATGGTGGCTAGCAGTGGAATCCAGGATGCGCATTTCGTCCTAATTGGGACTCGTCAGCTGGATGTACCTGCATTTCTCAGTGAGTGATGATGTTCCCACCGAGGCTCGAACCCAGTGCCCATAGTTTCAAACGCCAAAGCGTTATCCACTAGACCACTTGGGCCACGAGAGCCACCTGTTGTGCGACGGGTCATATTAATTATTGAATTGAATTTTTGATTTTCCCGTCGATTGATTGGACCGAAGTGTTCGGTCTCAGGTTGACATGTCGGCTTCTTGTGCAGATGCTTCGACGATGTCTGGGGATTTGATTTGTATACAATTGGTGGATGGTGGCTAGCAGTGGAATCCAGGATGCGCATTTCGTCCTAATTGGGACTCGTCAGCTGGATGTACCTGCATTTCTCAGTGAGTGATGATGTTCCCACCGAGGCTCGAACCCAGTGCCCATAGTTTCAAACGCCAAAGCGTTATCCACTAGACCACTTGGGCCACGAGAGCCACCTGTTGTGCGACGGGTCATATTAATTATTGAATTGAATTTTTGATTTTCCCGTCGATTGATTGGACCGAAGTGTTCGGTCTCAGGTTGACATGTCGGCTTCTTGTGCAGATGCTTCGACGATGTCTGGGGATTTGATTTGTATACAATTGGTGGATGGTGGCTAGCAGTGGAATCCAGGATGCGCATTTCGTCCTAATTGGGACTCGTCAGCTGGATGTACCTGCATTTCTCAGTGAGTGATGATGTTCCCACCGAGGCTCGAACCCAGTGCCCATAGTTTCAAACGCCAAAGCGTTATCCACTAGACCACTTGGGCCACGAGAGCCACCTGTTGTGCGACGGGTCATATTAATTATTGAATTGAATTTTTGATTTTCCCGTCGATTGATTGGACCGAAGTGTTCGGTCTCAGGTTGACATGTCGGCTTCTTGTGCAGATGCTTCGACGATGTCTGGGGATTTGATTTGTATACAATTGGTGGATGGTGGCTAGCAGTGGAATCCAGGATGCGCATTTCGTCCTAATTGGGACTCGTCAGCTGGATGTACCTGCATTTCTCAGTGAGTGATGATGTTCCCACCGAGGCTCGAACCCAGTGCCCATAGTTTCAAACGCCAAAGCGTTATCCACTAGACCACTTGGGCCACGAGAGCCACCTGTTGTGCGACGGGTCATATTAATTATTGAATTGAATTTTTGATTTTCCCGTCGATTGATTGGACCGAAGTGTTCGGTCTCAGGTTGACATGTCGGCTTCTTGTGCAGATGCTTCGACGATGTCTGGGGATTTGATTTGTATACAATTGGTGGATGGTGGCTAGCAGTGGAATCCAGGATGCGCATTTCGTCCTAATTGGGACTCGTCAGCTGGATGTACCTGCATTTCTCAGTGAGTGATGATGTTCCCACCGAGGCTCGAACCCAGTGCCCATAGTTTCAAACGCCAAAGCGTTATCCACTAGACCACTTGGGCCACGAGAGCCACCTGTTGTGCGACGGGTCATATTAATTATTGAATTGAATTTTTGATTTTCCCGTCGATTGATTGGACCGAAGTGTTCGGTCTCAGGTTGACATGTCGGCTTCTTGTGCAGATGCTTCGACGATGTCTGGGGATTTGATTTGTATACAATTGGTGGATGGTGGCTAGCAGTGGAATCCAGGATGCGCATTTCGTCCTAATTGGGACTCGTCAGCTGGATGTACCTGCATTTCTCAGTGAGTGATGATGTTCCCACCGAGGCTCGAACCCAGTGCCCATAGTTTCAAACGCCAAAGCGTTATCCACTAGACCACTTGGGCCACGAGAGCCACCTGTTGTGCGACGGGTCATATTAATTATTGAATTGAATTTTTGATTTTCCCGTCGATTGATTGGACCGAAGTGTTCGGTCTCAGGTTGACATGTCGGCTTCTTGTGCAGATGCTTCGACGATGTCTGGGGATTTGATTTGTATACAATTGGTGGATGGTGGCTAGCAGTGGAATCCAGGATGCGCATTTCGTCCTAATTGGGACTCGTCAGCTGGATGTACCTGCATTTCTCAGTGAGTGATGATGTTCCCACCGAGGCTCGAACCCAGTGCCCATAGTTTCAAACGCCAAAGCGTTATCCACTAGACCACTTGGGCCACGAGAGCCACCTGTTGTGCGACGGGTCATATTAATTATTGAATTGAATTTTTGATTTTCCCGTCGATTGATTGGACCGAAGTGTTCGGTCTCAGGTTGACATGTCGGCTTCTTGTGCAGATGCTTCGACGATGTCTGGGGATTTGATTTGTATACAATTGGTGGATGGTGGCTAGCAGTGGAATCCAGGATGCGCATTTCGTCCTAATTGGGACTCGTCAGCTGGATGTACCTGCATTTCTCAGTGAGTGATGATGTTCCCACCGAGGCTCGAACCCAGTGCCCATAGTTTCAAACGCCAAAGCGTTATCCACTAGACCACTTGGGCCACGAGAGCCACCTGTTGTGCGACGGGTCATATTAATTATTGAATTGAATTTTTGATTTTCCCGTCGATTGATTGGACCGAAGTGTTCGGTCTCAGGTTGACATGTCGGCTTCTTGTGCAGATGCTTCGACGATGTCTGGGGATTTGATTTGTATACAATTGGTGGATGGTGGCTAGCAGTGGAATCCAGGATGCGCATTTCGTCCTAATTGGGACTCGTCAGCTGGATGTACCTGCATTTCTCAGTGAGTGATGATGTTCCCACCGAGGCTCGAACCCAGTGCCCATAGTTTCAAACGCCAAAGCGTTATCCACTAGACCACTTGGGCCACGAGAGCCACCTGTTGTGCGACGGGTCATATTAATTATTGAATTGAATTTTTGATTTTCCCGTCGATTGATTGGACCGAAGTGTTCGGTCTCAGGTTGACATGTCGGCTTCTTGTGCAGATGCTTCGACGATGTCTGGGGATTTGATTTGTATACAATTGGTGGATGGTGGCTAGCAGTGGAATCCAGGATGCGCATTTCGTCCTAATTGGGACTCGTCAGCTGGATGTACCTGCATTTCTCAGTGAGTGATGATGTTCCCACCGAGGCTCGAACCCAGTGCCCATAGTTTCAAACGCCAAAGCGTTATCCACTAGACCACTTGGGCCACGAGAGCCACCTGTTGTGCGACGGGTCATATTAATTATTGAATTGAATTTTTGATTTTCCCGTCGATTGATTGGACCGAAGTGTTCGGTCTCAGGTTGACATGTCGGCTTCTTGTGCAGATGCTTCGACGATGTCTGGGGATTTGATTTGTATACAATTGGTGGATGGTGGCTAGCAGTGGAATCCAGGATGCGCATTTCGTCCTAATTGGGACTCGTCAGCTGGATGTACCTGCATTTCTCAGTGAGTGATGATGTTCCCACCGAGGCTCGAACCCAGTGCCCATAGTTTCAAACGCCAAAGCGTTATCCACTAGACCACTTGGGCCACGAGAGCCACCTGTTGTGCAACGGGTCATATTAATTATTGAATTGAATTTTTGATTTTCCCGTCGATTGATTGGACCGAAGTGTTCGGTCTCAGGTTGACATGTCGGCTTCTTGTGCAGATGCTTCGACGATGTCTGGGGATTTGATTTGTATACAATTGGTGGATGGTGGCTAGCAGTGGAATCCAGGATGCGCATTTCGTCCTAATTGGGACTCGTCAGCTGGATGTACCTGCATTTCTCAGTGAGTGATGATGTTCCCACCGAGGCTCGAACCCAGTGCCCATAGTTTCAAACGCCAAAGCGTTATCCACTAGACCACTTGGGCCACGAGAGCCACCTGTTGTGCGACGGGTCATATTAATTATTGAATTGAATTTTTGATTTTCCCGTCGATTGATTGGACCGAAGTGTTCGGTCTCAGGTTGACATGTCGGCTTCTTGTGCAGATGCTTCGACGATGTCTGGGGATTTGATTTGTATACAATTGGTGGATGGTGGCTAGCAGTGGAATCCAGGATGCGCATTTCGTCCTAATTGGGACTCGTCAGCTGGATGTACCTGCATTTCTCAGTGAGTGATGATGTTCCCACCGAGGCTCGAACCCAGTGCCCATAGTTTCAAACGCCAAAGCGTTATCCACTAGACCACTTGGGCCACGAGAGCCACCTGTTGTGCAACGGGTCATATTAATTATTGAATTGAATTTTTGATTTTCCCGTCGATTGATTGGACCGAAGTGTTCGGTCTCAGGTTGACATGTCGGCTTCTTGTGCAGATGCTTCGACGATGTCTGGGGATTTGATTTGTATACAATTGGTGGATGGTGGCTAGCAGTGGAATCCAGGATGCGCATTTCGTCCTAATTGGGACTCGTCAGCTGGATGTACCTGCATTTCTCAGTGAGTGATGATGTTCCCACCGAGGCTCGAACCCAGTGCCCATAGTTTCAAACGCCAAAGCGTTATCCACTAGACCACTTGGGCCACGAGAGCCACCTGTTGTGCAACGGGTCATATTAATTATTGAATTGAATTTTTGATTTTCCCGTCGATTGATTGGACCGAAGTGTTCGGTCTCAGGTTGACATGTCGGCTTCTTGTGCAGATGCTTCGACGATGTCTGGGGATTTGATTTGTATACAATTGGTGGATGGTGGCTAGCAGTGGAATCCAGGATGCGCATTTCGTCCTAATTGGGACTCGTCAGCTGGATGTACCTGCATTTCTCAGTGAGTGATGATGTTCCCACCGAGGCTCGAACCCAGTGCCCATAGTTTCAAACGCCAAAGCGTTATCCACTAGACCACTTGGGCCACGAGAGCCACCTGTTGTGCGACGGGTCATATTAATTATTGAATTGAATTTTTGATTTTCCCGTCGATTGATTGGACCGAAGTGTTCGGTCTCAGGTTGACATGTCGGCTTCTTGTGCAGATGCTTCGACGATGTCTGGGGATTTGATTTGTATACAATTGGTGGATGGTGGCTAGCAGTGGAATCCAGGATGCGCATTTCGTCCTAATTGGGACTCGTCAGCTGGATGTACCTGTCTCAATGAGGATGAAATGCGCATCCTGGATTCCACTGCTAGCCACCATCCACCAATTGTATACTAACCAAATGCCCAGACATCGTCGAAGCATCTGCACAAGAAGCCGACATGTCAACCTGAGACCGAACACTTCGGTCCAATCAATCGACGGGAAAATCAAAGATTCAATTCAATAATTAATATGACCCGTTGCACAACAGGTGGCTCTCGTGGCCCAAGTGGTCTAGTGGATAACGCTTTGGCGTTTGAAACTATGGGCACTGGGTTCGAGCCTCGGTGGGAACATCATCACTCACTGAGAAATGCAGGTACATCCAGCTGACGAGTCCCAATTAGGACGAAATGCGCATCCTGGATTCCACTGCTAGCCACCATCCACCAATTGTATACAAATCAAATCCCCAGACATCGTCGAAGCATCTGCACAAGAAGCCGACATGTCAACCTGAGACCGAACACTTCGGTCCAATCAATCGACGGGAAAATCAAAAATTCAATTCAATAATTAATATGACCCGTTGCACAACAGGTGGCTCTCGTGGCCCAAGTGGTCTAGTGGATAACGCTTTGGCGTTTGAAACTATGGGCACTGGGTTCGAGCCTCGGTGGGAACATCATCACTCACTGAGAAATGCAGGTACATCCAGCTGACGAGTCCCAATTAGGACGAAATGCGCATCCTGGATTCCACTGCTAGCCACCATCCACCAATTGTATACAAATCAAATCCCCAGACATCGTCGAAGCATCTGCACAAGAAGCCGACATGTCAACCTGAGACCGAGCACTTCGGTCCAATCAATCGACGGGAAAAACAAAGATTCAATTCAATAATTAATATGACCCGTTGCACAACAGGTGGCTCTCGTGGCCCAAGTGGTCTAGTGGATAACGCTTTGGCGTTTGAAACTATGGGTACTGGGTTCGAGCCTCGGTGGGAACATCATCACTCACTGAGAAATGCAGGTACATCCAGCTGACGAGTCCCAAATAGGACGAAATGCGCATCCTGGATTCCACTGCTAGCCACCATCCACCAATTGTATACTAACTAAATGCCCGGACATCGTCGAAGCATCTGCACAAGAAGCCGACATGTCAACCTGAGACCGAGCACTTCGGTCCAATCAATCGACGGGAAAAACAAAGATTCAATTCAATAATTAATATGACCCGTTGCACAACAGGTGGCTCTCGTGGCCCAAGTGGTCTAGTGGATAACGCTTTGGCGTTTGAAACTATGGGTACTGGGTTCGAGCCTCGGTGGGAACATCATCACTCACTGAGAAATGCAGGTACATCCAGCTGACGAGTCCCAAATAGGACGAAATGCGCATCCTGGATTCCACTGCTAGCCACCATCCACCAATTGTATACTAACTAAATGCCCGGACATCGTCGAAGCATCTGCACAAGGAGCCGACATGTCAACCTGAGACCGAGCACTTCGGTCCAATCAATCGACGGGAAAAACAAAGATTCAATTCAATAATTAATATGACCCGTTGCACAACAGGTGGCTCTCGTGGCCCAAGTGGTCTAGTGGATAACGCTTTGGCGTTTGAAACTATGGGTACTGGGTTCGAGCCTCGGTGGGAACATCATCACTCACTGAGAAATGCAGGTACATCCAGCTGACGAGTCCCAAATAGGACGAAATGCGCATCCTGGATTCCACTGCTAGCCACCATCCACCAATTGTATACTAACTAAATGCCCGGACATCGTCGAAGCATCTGCACAAGGAGCCGACATGTCAACCTGAGACCGAGCACTTCGGTCCAATCAATCGACGGGAAAAACAAAGATTCAATTCAATAATTAATATGACCCGTTGCACAACAGGTGGCTCTCGTGGCCCAAGTGGTCTAGTGGATAACGCTTTGGCGTTTGAAACTATGGGTACTGGGTTCGAGCCTCGGTGGGAACATCATCACTCACTGAGAAATGCAGGTACATCCAGCTGACGAGTCCCAAATAGGACGAAATGCGCATCCTGGATTCCACTGCTAGCCACCATCCACCAATTGTATACTAACTAAATGCCCGGACATCGTCGAAGCATCTGCACAAGGAGCCGACATGTCAACCTGAGACCGAGCACTTCGGTCCAATCAATCGACGGGAAAAACAAAGATTCAATTCAATAATTAATATGACCCGTTGCACAACAGGTGGCTCTCGTGGCCCAAGTGGTCTAGTGGATAACGCTTTGGCGTTTGAAACTATGGGTAATGGGTTCGAGCCTCGGTGGGAACATCATCACTCACTGAGAAATGCAGGTACATCCAGCTGACGAGTCCCAAATAGGACGAAATGCGCATCCTGGATTCCACTGCTAGCCACCATCCACCAATTGTATACTAACTAAATGCCCGGACATCGTCGAAGCATCTGCACAAGGAGCCGACATGTCAACCTGAGACCGAGCACTTCGGTCCAATCAATCGACGGGAAAAACAAAGATTCAATTCAATAATTTAGAAGCTTTTTCGACACTCTCTGAAGAGTCTACGCTATGCGTCAACAACACAAATCCTCAGATAGCTAAAATGAATATTACACTATTATGACATAAAGTATCAATGTGTGAGATAAAACCTTTGCCTGAAACATAGTAATAAGGTTGCTGAATATACGCCAACCATGTCTTAACCTACACAGAGTGAAATTATTCAGCGGTCAAGAAGGAATGTTCAGCAGCTGGATGGAGGTAAGATAAATGGAAACCTTATCTACTCAGTCGCCAATTCCATATCGGAATTGATATGCGTCCATATTTGCTAATGCGCTGATAGACCAATGAAGGACCAATGGAGAGATAGATAGATCAATGACTTACCTCTTTCAGACGAAATCAACTTCATCAAATATGCAGATGACCTGACTGTTTCGCTTCCCCTTAAGTCTCAATCACACTGTTTCAAATTAAATAGCTTCCTGTCGGATATCAGTCAGTGGTCTAAACTAAATGGTCTCATGCTGAATCTCTCAAAATGCCAGACTATTGACTTCGCCTTTAGGCATAAACGAGATCTACAAACACCAATTAGTACTCATGAAGCCTGTAGCATTGAGGGGACTAAAATTGAAGCTAAGTCTAATGCAAAGTACCTCGGACTAGTTCTATCTTCCGACCTTACTTGGTCATCTCATATCCAAATGATTTCTAAGAAAGTGTTTCGTCTAACCTACTACATTAAGAAACTCAGACTAACTGGAATCACTCAACGTCTGCTTTCACAATTTGTCAACTCTCGTATCCTACCTATTCTACTTTACTGCTCCCCATTAGTCTTTCCTAGGTTACTGAAAAAGGACTATACCATCCTGAGAAGGGTGTTGAAGGTAGTTAGTAGGACTAGTGGTGTAAAACTCAGTCAGCTCATCACTACATTTGTAGATAAGCATCTGAATACATGCGAAAAATGGTCTAAAATCATACTCTCCGACTCACAGCACCCCTCTATTCCCAACTCTCTCCTTGCATCTCATCAGGTAGAACCAGAAATCAGTACAAAATAATATATGCTAGTAAAACAAAGTATAGGAACTCAACGATACACTATTTGGCCCCCGTGATCTAAGTGACAGAGACAATGTTAAGCGCGAAACCTATGACTTGCTTTGTTGTTAATAACATAATTTTGGCCCTTGTTATTTTACTCTTATTTGTACTCTATAGTGAACAACCTTTTTAAACATACTTAGCTACCTAAAATTATTATCATTGGCTTACTTTTTTTACTTTACTCTATTCCTTCTTTTGTGTATCAACTGGTCCCGGCTATATTATCACTATGAGTAATACAAAATTGTCCTGTCTTTAAGCATCATGTAATATTAGTTTTGTGATTGTTTTTTTTGTTCGGCAATATTAAACTGACAATCTTGGTTGTGAACGCCGTTATCACCAACCTAAAATTTTTGTATTATGCGTGATTACTCACACTACCACAACAACACTGCATTAGTGCTGACAATAAAAAACTGAAATGTTTATTTTATGATTGTTTAGTGTAGTTCAATCAGATTAACTGATCATCTTGGCTATAAACATTCTTAAGAACATTTCATAACTTCTTGTATGATTCTAGCTGTTACTGTT